CACCCCAACTACCACCCTCGATTCTGCCACCCAACCTACCACCCTCACCCTTCCACCCTTTACGTTTCCACCCTCACCACTTTCCCACCCTCACCCGTCCACCCTCACCCTGCCACCCTCACCCTGCCACCCTCAGCCTGCCACCCTCACCCGCCACCCTGCCACCCTGCCACCCTCGTTCCAGCGGTCGTAAGTGTCTACCTGGGGCGGTCCTGTCTCGCTATACATCCAGTTGATGTCTTTATTCCCGACACTTTATTTAGCGACTTAATGGAGGTAATGGGTTGAGGGTCGTACCTTAAGGGGCGTGGAGGGGTGGGGGGGTGAGGAGGAGGGGGTAAGGGGTAGAGGTGTGGAGGAGGGTAGTGGATAGAGATGGGGGAAGGGGGTAAAGAAGGGGATAGGAGTGTAGTGGAAGAAGAGGGGTTAGTGGTAAGGGGTGATGAGAAAGGGGGACTAGGGGTGAGGGGAGGGAGATAATTACAGGTATAGTCTCAGTTCAAAATCTCCGTCATTTTGCCCAATCATCCTCTATGCTGTGACTTACCTACACCAGACACACTAAGACGAAACATTAAAAAAAAATCAATAAATAAAAAAAAAATTACCCACTAAAAATTTCTTACTTTACAATGGGTGACTAAATTATCTTACGAGCTTTTATGAGAATGTGAACTGGTATTTCTGGTTTAAGGTAATTAAGTTTGAAGATTTTAATGACTTTTATCATAATGAGTTACGAGAGTTTACGAGCGGATTATATAGTTCACCTTATCGGGGGTGTTCTCGTATAACTAGACATGTTTTGTGTTTTGTTGTGGTGGTAAACCGGTTTTAGTCTTGAAACCAAATACGAAACTAAAAAAAAAACCTATTTGGATTTTTGTTCTATAAACCTTGGCATGCTGGATACACACACGTATATAGACACGCATACATACGCAGATACACACGCATATGTACGCAGATACACACGCATATGTACGCAGATACACACGCATATGTACGCAGATACACACGCATATGTACGCAGATACATAGACTAGCGCAGACAGGTGAGGGGATAGAGGCGTGAGGGAGGAAGGAAGATGGAGAGGGGAAACGGGTGGTTAGGGAAGAAGGATGAGAAGGAAGGGGGGATGAGGAGGAAGGGGGGGGTGAGGAGGGGATAAGGAAGGGGAAGAGGAGGAAGGAGATGAAGAGGAAGCTAAAGATGAAGACGAGAAAGGAGAGGAAGGGAAGGAGGATAGGAGGCAGAGGAGGGGGGAGGTGGAGGTGGAGGAGGAAGGGGAAGATGATGAGGAGGAGGAAAGGGAGGGGGAAGAGGAGGAGGTAAATTTATCCTCAGTTCTGGCAGCCTCACAAGAAGCCTAAAGTCAGTTTGATATTTTGATCAGAATTTTTTGTCTCGTTCCCATTATTCTCGCTTCGTCTGATCCTCCTCCTCCTCCTCCTCCTCTCCTCTCCTCTCCTTCTTCCCCCTTCTTCCTCCTCCTCCTGTGTGAATGACGGAGAGAGGGAGTGGAAGGAAAATTGACGGAAGGAGGAAATACTGTAGTTGAAAAGGGATGAAGGATGGCGAGAGAAGGTGTGGAGAAGAAGAGGCGTGTGGAAGAGATAGGGGGGAGGAGGGGAAGGAAGAGGAGGGAAAGAAGCCGAACTAAGACGTGGAAATAGAGGACGAGATGAAGGAGGAAGATGAGGAGGAGAAGAAGGAGAAGAGTACTTTACTCCTCTCACACTCAGTCTCGCCAAGTGTCTTAAAGCTAAACACCTGAAGGTTATAAGATAGTGTTCAGGTGTTCACGGGCATTTACCTCAACCCTCCCTTCCTCCTTCTCTCCCTCCCTCCCTCCCTCCCTCCCTCCCCCTCCCTCCTCCTTCCTTCCTCTTCCTTCCTCTCCTCCTCCCCTCTCTCCCTCCCCTCCCCTCCTCTCCCTCCTCCTCTCTCCTCCCTCCCTCCCCCTCCCTCCCTCCTCCTCCCTCCGCCCTCCTCCCTCCTCCCTCCTCCTCCTCCCTCCCTCCTCCCTCCCTCCTTCCTCCTCCCCCCTTCCTCCCTCTTGGTGAACACGTGTGAAGGTGGAGGGGTTTCTTCTTGCACCTCCTTCTCTCCTTTCCTCCCTCCCTCCCCCTTTATTCTCCCCTTTCTTTTACATCTTCATCCTTTTCCTCTCTATCTCTCTGTCATATATATCTGTCTGTCTCCCACTAGAAATTTTAACATACGATTCATTTTATAATGTAAGTGAACGTATGAAGCCTTAATAAAGACTTTACTTAGAGAATACACCCGAATAATAATAATAATAATAATAATAATAATAATAATAATAATAATAATAATAACAACAATATAAACTAAGTAGACTATGTAACCTTTTATACGTCAGTCAAATACGATTAAAATATTAGGATATACAACTATGAATCCATTTGTATACATACACTCTGATAATACATATATGGTTAAATACATAGATACACCTGGACGTACATATAGAGTTCTTGGGGTGGTGTGGTGATGGGTGGCGTGTGGTGAGGGGGGTGGGTGGTTGTGTGGGTGGCGTGTGGTGATGGTGTGGTGATGGGTGGCGTGTGGTGATGGTGGGTGGTTGTGTGGTGGCGTGTGTTGTGTGTGTGATGGGTGGCGTGTGGTGATGGTGGGTGGTGTGTGATGGGTGGTGGTTGTGGGTGGCGTGGTGATGGTGTGGTGGTTGTGTGCGTGCTGGCGTGTGGTGATGGGTGGCGTGTGGTGATGGTGGGTGGTTGCGTGCGTGCTGGCGTGTGTGGTGATGGGTGGGCGGTGTTGAGGGTGGCGTGTGGTGATGGGTAGGTTATTTTTTTACGTAACATCTAGTAAACAAATAATGTAATTAGTTGTTGTAATTGAGCATAATCCAATTCACTGATTAAGCTATTTTAACCCCTAGAGTACGATTACTTAACCCCTAGAGTACGGTGACTTAAATCCGAGAGTACGATGCTTTAACCCCTGGAGTTTTTATTGTACTCTGGGGGTTATGTAATTGTACTGAAAGGGTGAAGGTACTGTACTCGAGGGGTTAAATCATCGTACTCTAGGGGTTAAGTAATCGTACTCTCGGGGTTAAAATTATTCTTGACAATTAATCATTTACCATTAGGTCCAATTCACTAATTATTAATACTAACATATACCTGTTCTAAAACTACCTGTCGAGTTAGATTCTTTTTAAACACACTAAGAAAAAACCCACTATCTATTCCCAGCCATAACCCCTCCTCGAAATAAACATTATCCATTCCCAGCCATCAAAACAATGAGTCTTAATATAGGCTCATCATCAATATGTGACACTAACTAAGCTCACAGCTCCGTCCCACCGATCCCCCTAACAGACGCTCTGAATCCTAATTAATGATATAAATCTTACCACATAACCGGCCGGATTCCTTCTCGACATTTAAACCTCCCCCCGATCTCATGCGGGCTTCGGGCGGCGGCATTCTAGCGTTTATACTTTCCCCGACTCGTTTATTGTTTATCCTTGTCAATCGAGAGGAATTTTTAAGACCGATATGTAGTTTGGTTTATGACATTGTAGTTTGTAGTTCGAATGGTGACAATTTGACGAGTGGTTTGGTTAATATTAAGGTAGTTTGGTTTATATTTCTCGATTTGAGCGAGAACAAGTCAGCCACGCTCGACCAATAGGCTCCCTCGACCCCGACATTATGCACTGACCCACCATATGGGTAAACAACAGGTGATTTGACAGGTGGCCGTGATGCCAAGACCTCACCTGTGTAGTCCTGTGCCAAGATGGGCAGGTGAAGATGTCCTCGAGGGTGCCAGCCGGAAGAAACCCACGAGTAGGGTGAGATTAAGTGGATATCTGACCTTAAAGAGAGACGCCGGAACTACAGTATCATGAGGTGTCTGTTGAGCTACCCTCCCAGACTTACCTCGATGTTTAGAGACGAGGAAGACGCTTGTAGGAGACTCTGAACCTGACGCGGCGGGAGGGGGAATGCAGAGACGCTGGCTGTCCTGGTGGAGGGTTGAGGGGTTCATTATTCAATCGTGTTGTTTGGTTGTGGTCAGTAATTTGCGTGTGAATGCAGCGTGTTATGTGTTAGGCGCTTGTCCGTGCTGGGCCGCCCGCCACCACCGCCGCCACCATCGCCCTGGAATGTATCGCTCACTATCCTAAAGAATGTGACTCTATCCAACTCCTCTTAAAAAAAAACTATCTAGACTATCCATATCCCTTCCTTATCCATCCCCCACCATATATTTCACTTTAGTACTTACCGACGTTAAAACAAGTCTTTATTTTGGATACATACTAACCCCCAGCTTGACCTCTACAACGACGAATCAATACGGAAATAGTCGATACTGAGTGGAAGTTCCTCTAGTCTCGGAGATGTTAAGAAGGGGGAAGGTGACTCCATTTATTCCACTTTTTTATTTATTTTTTTTTACTAATATTATTCAAAGTGAGATCAGCTCGATGCGGCTCCTGACATTAATTCTTGACTTACTTACTTTGACCTTTGTTTTGAATGTCGTGTTGATAGTTTTACTTGTAGGTATAATAGTGAGTTGTAGGAGGCGGTAAGGGAAAAGGGTGAACGTTTTCTCTTGAGCCTGATGCACCCTTTTGGGGGGGAGGGGGTGCTTGTTTATGTGTCTCAGTACATAATTGTGTATGTTTGAACTTGATTCGTGTGTGAGCGTGTGTAAGCGAAGGTGAGTGAGCGTGTGTAAGGGAAGGTGTGTGAGCGTGTGTAAGCGAAGGTGTGTAAGCGAAGGTGTGTGAGCGTGTGTAAGGGAAGGTGTGTGAGCGTGTGTAAGGGAAGGTGAGCGTGTGGAAGGTGTGAGGCGTGTGAAGCGTGTGTGTGTGAGCGTGTGTAAGGCGAAGGTGTGTGAGCGTGTGTGGAAGCGTGTGTGGCGTGTGTGTGTGTGTGTGTGTGAGTACCGCGCGCGCCGCCTTGTTTGGGTTACCTTGACTTGTCTAGGCTTGGGGGGGGGTAGGAGTGGCGGCGGCATTGGTGGCGTGGGGCAGCCTGACGGTGTGGGGCAGCCTGACGGTGGCGTAGCAGCCGACGGTGGCGTGGGTGGCCTGACGGTGGCGTGGGTGGCCTGACGGTGGGGCAGCCTGACGGTGGCGATAGTTGGCCTGACGGTGGCGTGGGGTGGCCTGACGGTGGCGTGGGGTGGCCTGACGGTGGCGTGGGGTGGCCTGACGGTGGCGTGGGTGGCCTGGCGGTGGCCTGACGGTGGCGTAGGGCGGCCTGACGGTGGCGTGGGGTGGCCTGACGGTGGCGTGGGGTGGCCTGACGGTGGCGTGGGGTGGCCTGACGGTGGCGTGGGTGGCCTGACGGTGGCGTGGGTGCTGGCCTGACGGTGGCGTGGGGTGGAATTCTGACGGTGGGACGGTGGCGTAGGGTGGCCTGACGGTGGCGTGAGCAGCCTGGGGGTGGCATGGGGCAGCCTGACGGCGTAGGGGTAGCCTGACGGTGGCGTAGGGTAACCTGAGGATGGCGTGGGGTGGCCTGATCGGTGGCGTGGGGTGGCCTGACGGTGGCGTGGGGTAGCCTGAGGGTGGCGTGGGGCGGCTTTATGGGGTCACTTTTCAACTTGGGCAACATTCGAAAGGGTTAAGGGTTATTTTTTTTATCTTCGTGGTGGTGATGTGTGGTGGTGTATGGTGGTAGTGGTGATATGTTGTGGTGGTGTGTGGTGGTGATGTGTGGTGGTATTGCGTGGTGTTGTGTGAAGGTGGTGCGTGGTGGTGGTGTGTGGTGGTGTTGCGTGATAGCGATGTTGTGTGGTAGGGTCCAGGGTTGTCAGTCCTAAACACCATAAGATATATCGTCACATGGCATCGTAACAACGCCCAGGTAACGTAACGCATCGCATAGCTATGACATTCAAGAGCGTCGGGTACAGAAGCGTGGGCTCCTCGTAGCGGGGTCGGCGTCATCATGGGTTCCTTGTAGTGAGGTTGGCGTCACTGTAGAGTCCCCATTGCAGGGTTGGCGTCAGTGTGGGTTCGTCAGTGTGGTGTCAACTGAGGTAACTATAAACTGGGTCGACATCAGGTGAGGTTCCTCATAGTATGGTCGACTGCAGCTGCTAGTTCACAATTAACATCAGCTGAGATTTTTCAAAGCGGGGTCAACATTAGCCGAGATTCCTCATGGTGGGGTTGACATTAGCTGGGATTCCTCATAAGGGGGTCGACGTCAGCTGATATTCCTTAGAACGGGGTCGACTAAAATTCCTCAAAACGAGGCCGACATGAGCTGAAATTACTGATGGCGGGGTGGACATGAGCTGAGATTACTGATGGCGGGGTGGACATGAGCTGAGATTACTGATGGCGGGGTGGACATGAGCTGAGATTACTGATGGCAAGGTGGACATGAGCTGAGATTACTGATGGCGGGTGGCGATCTGAGATTAATATGGCGGGTGGTGATCTGAGATTACTGATGGCAGGGGTGGACGATCTGAGATTACTGATGGCAGGGGTGGACATGAGCTGAGATTACTGATGGCGGGGACACGATCTGAGATTACTGATGGCAGGGTGGACATGATCTGAGAATTACTGATGGCGGGGTGGACATGAGCTGAGATTACTGATGGCGGGGTGGACATGAGCTGAGAGTCCTCATAACGGGGTCGACACCAGCTGAGATTACCCCTAGCGCAGGGGTTCTCAACCAGGGGGGAATTTCCCCCCTCAGGTTTTCAGGGGGGAGGGGAAACTGATACTAATATGGAAAAAATAAAGGTTTTTCAGTATTATATGCATATTATTTGGAATGCACTTTTTGAGGCAGACAATCTTGGAAAGGAGGGGGGAATGACATTCTGACATATGGTGAAAGGGGTGCATGGGGCAAACAAGGTTGAGAACCACTGCCCTAGCGGGACCGGCCCCTTCCTACCTGTAAGTTACCTTGTCTGTCCCCCTACCTGTCCCGTCATGGCCCTTTAAAGCTTATAAATTAATTTCGGAAAGGTTAAATACAGTGTCTTACGTTTCAACGCGGCGGAGACGTTCTTAAGGAGTGGCCCAAAGACCTTGCTTGACCTTAGTGAATTTTAACGCTTCTCCTAATGGTGAGGCTTAGCACGGTGACGTCTTCCTCGTGTTGTGAAGGTGTTCTCACTGGTTGAGTTGTTATTGTAATTGATAGTTAGGTTTAATTTTGTTAATAATAATAATAGTAATAAGTGTCAAAATTAATAACATGTAATAGTAATAATGGCGACAATGGTGAAACACAAAATAATTAACTGTCATGGATATTAAAGAAATTGCAATTTTATAGATTATTTTATTTTTGGCTTTTATCACTAAACTAATTAACTTTTATTCTTGGTTGCAAATAAAAATAATGATTAATCCTTTATTAATTTTATATTGATGAGTAGAATAAATAATATAACAAACTGCTGAGAAAGGTTAGCATAATGTATAAACAACTTGATATATCGTGTACAGTTGCTATCAAAATGGCTCGTCCGTAATATAATATCAGGTTAATAAGTTATTTTTAGCGGACTTTTTCTTCGTGAATATTAAGTTTCCTCTTAATAATATCCAGTGTTCCTCAGACAGGTAGAAGGGAGGGAGGGAGGGAGTGAGTGATCGCGACACTCCTCCTCCTCCTCTCCTCTACCTACAATAATGATCACCGGGCACTCTAATGAGGGAGGTCGTGTTACCTGTGTGTGGGGATAATTTGATAGTTTTCCAACCTCATCAGTGACTTCCAGTGGCTTCACGTGCTGGCTCGGGTTACTCCGCCTATTCGTGTTACATTGGTTCGACCTGTTCCCTGGATTAAGACGGTAGGCTTAGTGTAGCGGTGAGGGGTCGTGTTACCTCGGTGTGGCCAGCCTGGCATCTTAGCTGTGTTTGGCTTCTTCAGTAGATCAGATTTGATAAGGCGGAAATTTTAATGTTAATGAAAGTTCTAAATTAGATTTTTGTCAATTTTTTTCGAAGTCAGATTATTCGGCAGACAGTAAAGTTTGAATTTGTCAGAAACAGTTCCATTGGGTTCCATTGTTTCCTTTATCGTAGTCCGAATTATAGGGTAGCCTCTGACAGCTCTTTACGGCGTCGTTCAGTCGTTCAGTTCCCTGGTATTACAAGATTCACTACAAGGAGGACGTACAGTACAGCCAACAAAAAAACTATCTTTACCCCTGGGACTAATGGACTTCTCAGTGCACTCTATGACTGCTGTTGTCTCGGTAGGGTTGGTAAATCTGTGTCTGGTGCATCTCTTATTGTTTGAGGTTTGTTTTGTTTTATTAATGGATGGAATAGGGTGAAATCTAATAACTTTTCGATAAACAAATACATTAGAATTTACTACGTTGTTTTAGTCACATAAATTCTCTCCACCTCGGGATGTATCGTAACACACACACACACACACACACACACACACACACACAAATCTGTTTTTCTACATTTCATCAACAAACTCGAAAAATCATTTATATTATATTTATTTATGAAGTGTAAAAGAGAGAGAGACGATAAATTAGATCTGCCTCTGTTATTATGCAGGAGCGCGTCTTGTGTTGACGTAGTGAACAGAAAAAGAAATAATACGATCATTTATTCTTTAAGCACAATTTAACCTCTCTTCTAGTCTCTCTCTCTCTCTCTCTCTCTCTCTCTCTCTCTCTCTCTCTCTCTCTCTTTGTATGTGTCATTATTTTTTTTTTCATCTGTGGTAAGAAAGAAAATATCAACGTGTCTAGTATTTACTTGTTGTTGTCACGTCTTGGTTTTACACCTTTCTTGAGATGCGAGCTCGGGGGAAGGAGAGGAGGAAAGGTAAGAAGGAAGATCAAAGAAAGGGGGAGGAAAATAAAAGAGAAGGGAGGGAGAGATGGAGAGATGGAGGGAAAGACGGAAGGATGGAAAGGACGGAGGACGGGAGGGAGGAAGGGATGGACGGGGGTAAAGTTAAATTGGACAGTCAAAATACTACACACACACACACACACACACACACTGCTGACGACCACTCTCCCGTGTATGTGTCCTCGCCTCCAACAACACGTCAATACATCATGCGTCTCTTCCTTCAAACAGTTCGTTCTTGCTTCCAGTTTGTTTGCGTTTTTCTACTCGTCCGTGAGGGGAAATACCAACTAGGTGACCTCTGCTCTTGACCTCTGTGGCGTCAGGGGCCAGATATGCGTAGCGAAGGTGTTCGGGGGATCGGTGGTAGAAGCAGTACCGTTCTTGCCTCGCAAGCGAGATGTCCCGGGTTCGATTCCCGGGCCGGTGGAAGTTGTTTGGACTTACTTCCAAGCCCCCATTAGTCCCTGTTCACCTAGCAGTAAAGTAGGTACCTGCTGTAAGCCGAAAGTTGCGAATTCATATTCAGGGACAAGTTGTTGGAGCTTCCAATAACTTGATGACATACACCACTGACTCTTCAGGCTTCTACGCCCTTAACTCATGAGACATAAAGGCAAGCATGAACTTAGCATGCTTCCCTGTTGGGCACTGTAAACGCTTCTGCGCTTCACCTTACACAATGATGTAGGGGAGTGCCCAATAAATAATAAAAAAAAAAGCGAAGGTGTTCTAAGGGCGTAGTGGGAAGGGGGGGGGGGTTAATTAATGTATGGCGAAGGTGTAACGAGTAATTGTTCTATGCAGGTAATTTAGCCTAGCCTACAACCTGTAACCTTACCTCACCTATAACCTAACCTAACTTTACCTCAAGATGTGACATGGGAATTCATTCATGTCATAAGCGAGGGTCAGTTGGTCATGTCACACACGTCCTGTTGGTGAGATTGAGAACTCGATTGTATTCATTCTTGGGTTTGTAACTTGTGGTTTGGTTTTGTAAATTGATTATTATTGGACGTTTGGGTGGAGGGACGTGGCTGAGGGAAACGTGTTGGACATACGACTGAAGTTGGAGGTGGAGGAAGAGGAAGGGGACGGAGCTTAGTGTAGAGGGACGTTAGTTAAAATTAAAAGAATGAAAAAAGAGAACGAAGAAAAGTGAAGGAGAAGAAGAAAAAAGAAATGTAAAGTGGAAGAATTATTATTAATTGCAATGTGCCTAAAAATATGTTTGAGTGAACACTGAAACTGAGTCACACACTCACAGGCTCACTCAGTCGTCACTCTTAACACTCTCACATGCACGCACATGCATATACATGTACACTCATTTACGCAGTCATATCACACACACATACACCTTCCCACGCCCCTCCCCCCTACCTACCTACACCACTCATCCACCTCGGCTACCCCACGACGCCGCGGCTTGACGTAAATTTACGACGGTAAGTGGCGATAAGGGAGACGCGGCGGACAAGAAAGGCACTACGGGATCCCTTCTGATTTGTTCGTCCCTGTGGGGGTTTTAAGAGGATCCAACACCGCATGGTTCACACTTAGTGGGGTTTTATCCTTTGCTTACGTTGGTTCATCCGTTTTGTGTTGACACTCGTATATGATTCGTTCGACTTCAGATGAATGGGATTCGACTCCATATGGTTCACACTCAGTGGGATCTGATTCTTTGTTTACGTTGATAGGTTTTATTGATGGACGTCATCTGTGATTTGCTCGATTGAGGGTGACTTTAACTCCCGTATTACGGTTCATAAGATGTAGTGTTCGCTCCACCACCTAACCTGATATATTTATGATTTGTAGGATCTCATGGTAGCTTTAAGAGGATTCAACCCTACATAATTCACACCTGGTGGTATTAGATTCCTGTTTACTTTGATTCCTTACATTTTTGTTAACTTCATCTATGATTTGTTCCACCTTATGCGGTTCGGTAGGGTTCAACTCCATGTATGTCACACTTAATGGTATCCGATCCTTGTTGAGGCGGATTTATCTATCTATATTCGAATTATACGTCATATATAAAGTAGATATCTCCTAAAAACAAAGACAAAGGC